GGGGCTCCGGGCGGAGGCGCGGGCGATCCGTCTTGAGGCTGCGCTCGCCGACCCCCTCCCTCCCTCCACCCCCGACCCGACCCGACCCGACCCGGACCACCGGCTCGGGAAGGGAGGGCCCCGGGGACGGTGGCCCCGCCGGGCCTCGGGGAGGGGGGCGCGCCTCCGGCGAACATGGGCCGGGCTCCCGGGCGAGGATAAAAATGGCGCTGGCGCCAGGCCCTCCTCACCCGCGCGTTCTCGGCGCCCCACGCCCCCTTCCCCAGACCGGTTGGAGCCCCAGCCCCTCGCCGCGGGGCCTGGAGGAGCTTCCGGGCCGCGACCCCCTCCCCCGCCCCGCAACTCCCCAGGCGCCCCGCGCCTTCCCACCCTCCAGGGCCCTGCGCGCTGCGATGTTGTTTCTGCTCCTCCCCCACGCAAGTCACCCCTTTAAGTTACCATTTGCTCGAATCACGAAGCACCCCCCCCACCCTGATCCCTCCCTCCCCCCAAAAAGAAAAAGCAACCTAAGAAAGCCTCATTAAAGTTACAAGTCAAAGTATAAAGAAAGGACTGGCTTTAGTTGCCCTGACATTGTGTTCTTATTGGGTAGATTTAGGTTAGATAATGACGTGGTTCTTTGAAATCATTTCAGTTCCCTAGACAGCTTTTCGTGATGGAAGATAGGTAAGGCCGGCAGTTTACAGATGAAAAATGGTTTCTGTTCAGGTTAATTCTCTGTTCAAAACAGGTTTTTTTTTTTTTTTGGCCAGTTGCGTGAACAGCTAGCATGGGAAACTAAACTAACTTGATTTGGGCGACTGGGTTGTGAAATGGAGCAGCAGTAAGAGGAAAATGGATGAACCTGGTTACTGAGCCTTGCTGTTTACTCTTAATGGACTGACCAGTTGTGTTCAGTATGGTCGTGCTGGCTTGATTTGAGCGTTTTGGAGTTAATGGTCAGGGTTTGGATAGCCCACTTTTGCCTTGGCCTTATGTTCTGGAACATTGAATGCCAGTTTGGTCTAGAGAGCTGGGTTATAATTTTTTTGGCGTGGGAGGGGGAATCAGAAGTCTTTTTGTGTTGTGTTTATTAGGCCTTTTAGGCCATATAGAAACTAATAGTCTTGAGATGGAGAGAGAAAAAGATACTTTGGTAATTAGCTTCTTGCCACCTGGAATAAAAATCTTGAAAAGGAGTTAGGACATGCCTTAGGATTCCTTGAAATTTGGGTTAGATTTAAGATAGTCTGCCCTTTGTTTTCTGGTTGGGCACCAAGTAAACATCAAGTGCTGGGCTGTGTCTCTCTGGTGAGTTTTGCTCTGCACATAAAGCCCTCAGATTTTACTTATTTACCAAAGTAGAAAAATGAGTGCAAAATACTGTGAACTGTGTTTAACATTGTGAACTCTGATTATTACCTGTTATTTTGATAGTGTGGCCACAAAGTGAAAATTAGTGTATACAAATAAGGTAAAAGATGAGTAATAATGGCAAGATTAATTAGGTATCACACTTTCATAGACAAGCTGTTTGTCTTATGTTGGAGCTACATTAGGTCTGATCCTAGCGTGAGTGGAATTACTTATGTACATTGGTTTTGATTTGAAAGCAATTGTTCTCAGCTGCTTTCTTACAGTCTACCCATAAACTTTATAACCCCTCTAACATCAGTTCTTAAAAAGACTCATTGACTTTGAGAAAGAGGTGAAGGAATGTGCACATGGCTTTTCTTTGTCCTAACTGGGCTCTGAGTATTTGGCTGTGCTTGTTATTTGCAATTTACACATGTGGCCAGTGTAATATACCACAAAATGGCAGAATGAGCCATGGAACTTCTTGGGTGTTTTTTTTTTTGTTGTTGTTGTTGTTGTTTGCTTGTTTGATTTTTGACTGGGAGAGAGCTAAGATGAAGGTAATAAAGCACCTTGTAAATTATTCATGTAATGTATTTTTCTTTCAGAATGCCTAAATCAAAGGAACTTGTTTCTTCAAGCTCTTCAGGCAGTGATTCTGACAGCGAGGTTGAAAAAAAGGTAACTTTTTACTGTCCCAGATTTGTAGTGCATTAATTCCTCTATAATGCTGGCATTCAATTTTGAAGTGAAAGGCGTATTGGTCTTTTTAGATAGGTTTTGACTACCTCCAACCACCTCAGGTTTCCCTGAGGGCTGGGATTGTGCTACCAATGCTGGGTTCAGAACGTAAGAGGATCTGCAAGGGTATTTTTGTAAGGGTAGATGACAGATGGACTGCTTGAGTGGAGTAGGAACTTCTAAACGCATGTGCAGGCATTCAGTCAGACGTAAGAGGTTGTCTTTGTGCTGTACTTGGGGTTCAGTCTGGGGTCCCAGTGCATCCCAACCAAGTGCTCACAGCTGAGCTATATCCCTAGCTCTGGGTTTACTTTTTATTTGCGACAGGGTCTCAATAAGTTGCCTGGGCTGACCTTGGACTCTTGTCCGCATGCCTTAGCCTCCTGAGTAGCTGTGAGCACAGGCCCAGCTCAGACTAAACAAATACTCTATTGAGCACCTTTAGTAACCTAAAGCCACAGAAATTCTTCTTTAAACTCTGGAGCACTCGATTCTAATTAGGCCGAAGACACTACTTACCATTATTTAGAAATCTGTGTCATTCAGAAACCTGCTTAGTCTAGGCTGCTGAGGTGGCTCAGTGGGTAAAGGCTCTTGGGGCCAAACTGACAGCCTGAGTTTGGTCCCCGTTTTTCCTCATGGTAGGAGAGGAGACCAGCTAGACCAAGTTTGCCCTCTGACCTCATGACCACATACAAGCATCACAAGTGCCACACACACACAATAATAGTAATAAATCAGACTCCTAAAAGTCTGCCTAATCTGTAGGTAGTTAGTCCCTAGTGGGGTGCATGACTGAAGTTTGGGATGAAGACACTAATTTTGATGGCTTTCTCAGTCATTGCTGCCCCCCCCCCCCCCATCTTAGTTTTGGTACATTTTAAGTTTGAAAGTTATTTGCTTCTAGTAAATAAAGTCATCCAGCACAGCCAGCACAAAATGCCCCATTTTGTCAGAAAAAGCTTTCTCTGTGGCAGGTGACAGCTGCTTTGTCAACTTCATTCCACTTAATTGATCGCATCAGTGAAGTGTGACGGAGCAACCCATCTTGTGGTCAAGACTTCCTTCCACACAGCTGTATCTTGATAGAAACTCATCTCTGAATAGACATTCATATCCTAGAAATTGAACAAATTGCATTCACCCTTCTTTGTTTAGTTGTTTGTGGGAATAGGTAATTAGCAGACCTTTAAAGCAGCAAGCGGGGCTAGTGATGTGCAGTTGGTAGGTGCTGGCCTAGCACTCAGAAGCGCTGTGGAGGTGGAAGCAGGAGGATCTGAAGTTCAAGGTCACCCGGGATACAGGGGCCTGTTCTATGAATTTTTTTAAGCAGCAGCTCCCCCTTTTTTCCTTCGTTTTTTTTTAATTTTTTAAAGTTTTTTTTCTTCCCCCCTCCTTTGCACTGTCTAACAAAGGGGAGCTCTTTATAGAGAAATTTGGGAACGCTGGAGCCTATGCATGTAAAGATAGACTACATATCATTTAATTTGAAATTAGGAGGCTTCAAACACCATACCTAGCTGTACTTGAAGAAATCTTTGTAAAATTTGTATCAGTGTAACATCTAAGTATGTTTATATAACTAATTTATATTGAAGTTATTTGCTGGGCATGTACCAGTCCACAGAATTGCCTTTTGCTTGCTGAGCTGATTTTTGTAGTTTGTTTCACCTAGTACTGTTAATCCTGTAAGCATTTACATTAAATGCACCTATGTTTTTCATTTGATAGCTTATTTATGTGTATTCTTAACCTAGCTTTATCAAATTTAATAAAGTAAGTTTAGTAACATTAACATAGTAGTTTGTATTTATCCCCTAAGAAGGAGCATGTCTGCCCTCTACTGTTTGGGCTGGGAGCTTATGTGGGTTTTTTTTTTTTTAAACTGTTAGCTCATTCTATAAATGAGGATATATAAAAGGCTGCTTCTAAAATATTATGAGGTTGAGTGCTATTCTTAACATATCACTGTCTATTTTCAGTGTTCTTTGTGTTGAAGTTTTTGAGTTGCTGATTTTCTGTACCTGGCATAAAATATCACCTTCCTTTCCTAAGCATGTATCGTGCCCCACCCCCAACAGGGTCTCATTATATAGCTCTGGCAGCCTGGAGCTTGCTATGTAGACCAGGCTGGAAGCATACATTCTTGAAAACAGTTCAGATTCTTTTGGAATACACAGGGAGTTAGTAAGTATTCATATGTTAGTATGTTGTTTTTGATTGTTTTTTTAGGCAGTCACTGTGTATAGCCTAGGCTGTCCTTGATCTTTAGTTTTTCTGCCTCAACCTCAGGGTTACAAGGCATACCACCATACTTTTTTTTTTTTTTAAGGAAAGCTTTTGGTAAATTTGATTTCCAAAAGTTGATTAAAAAATTTTAGGCCACTTCCCTTCCCACTTCCAAAGAAGTATTGTATGGATTCTGGGCCACAAAATCACTGTTGTAGTGTCTGAAGTATCTTTGGGGACTCTGAGAACAGAGTTTAGAAACAATTATTAGTTATACGTGCAGACTAGATTCATAGTTGAATTTTTTCATGTACATATTTTTCTTTTGTTTTTGTTTGTTTGTTTGTTTGTTTTGTTTTTTGTTTTTCGAGACAGGGTTTCTCTGTGTAGCTTTGCGCCTTTCCTGGGACTTACTTGGTAGCCCAGGCTGGCCTCAAACTCACAGAGATCCTCCTGCCTCTGCCTCCCGAGTGCTGGGATTAAAGGCGTGCGCCACCACCGCCCGGCTCATATTTTTCTTTTAATGAATCAAGAATTTTTTTTGGTTCTTTAACTCTTTAAAGGTAATGAAGTCTTTTGAGCTTGACATTTGTGTATTCTTGCCTTTTCTTTCAAGTTAAAGAGGAAAAAGCAAGTTGTTCCAGAAAAACCTGTGAAGAAGCAGAAGCCTGGTGAGACTTCTAGAGCTTTGGCATCTTCCAAGCAGAGTAGCAGCAGCAGAGATGATAACATGTTTCAGGTAAAGTTGGATTGCATTCAGTCCAGTGGAAACACCCTTGAGTGATCTGAAGAACACCAGAAATGTCTTGATCTGATAGCACATTATAGGATCTATGTGTTGTGATCCTCTTAACTAATGATGTTTATTTATTTTTATTTTTTAAAAGATTTATTATTTATGTATTTGAGTACTCTATTCACTTTTTGCCAGAAGAGGGCATCAGATCCCACTATAGATAGTTATGAGCCACCATGTGGTTGCTGGGAATTGAACTCAGGACCTCTAGAAGAGCAGCCCTCTCTTTAGCCCTGGACTAATGTTTATTAACAAACGAATTGGAAGTCAAGGTAAATTGTTCAATTCTGGGCTATTAGGTAAAGTCTAGAAGTCTTTAGTTTTGCTATATTTAAACAATGCAAATCTAATTGTTAGAGAAATCCAAAAGAAGATTTAGAACTGTACATTTGGGAAGCAGATTTAAGTAGGTAGGTTTGAGTATTTGGCTGGAAAGTATAAATTTGATAGTATTTGAGAGAAATGGCCTAACTTAGGCTTCATAAGAAACAGAAGGCTAGGGATATAGTTTATGTGTAAAGTGCTTGGTAGCATGTTTAGGCCTTGAGTATGAGTGTAAGCTGAAAAAAGAAAAGGTTGAATAGATAAAGTGAGAGATTTGAAAACACAGGAAGAGGCCTAGTTTGGCATCTTGAGTTTATTATGTGTTTTTAGCAACTCAGCATTTGCTTCACTGTTTAAGAATGACTTGTGAGATGAGGCATTGTAAACAAATGATGCTGTGAGATTGCTGAGGTAATTAGAGACTTTCATCTGTATTGAGAAGGAAGAGAGAGTGATGGTTACAAAGATGGCACTGAAGAGTGGACCAGAGGACAGACCCCATGATGAAGAGGTAGACCTGATAGGGTCCAGTAGCACCTGGAAGTCTTGGCTGGGAACTATTCTTGTTGGAGTCTACATATGCTTGACCAAAAAGCCATACACCAGAGAAAGCGTAAACCAAAGAGAGGAGGTGGATGACAGTGTGTGAGTAGTTTTCAAATGGTCGATGAGAGAAGAGGATGCAAGTTGAGATAAAATGGTGAAAGAAAACTAAAAGTAGTGGAAGCAAGAAATAGACAGAATGTAGAATTAGTTACAGGCTTAAATCCTCTGACTTGTATGTAATTTAGGATCAAAATTTGTTTACTTGATAGAGAACATAGGTGAAGGTATGTGATGAGGAATTTAAAAAATGCTATTATTGCTTTGAGTGGATAATAAATTGGATGCTTACTGTGTTCTGTAATTCATTCAGGCTTTGCCAGGTTCTGGTAAGCCATGTGGAATGTGGTCTGTAACCTCGTGGAATTTAAGGGGACCACAATTACATACACATGCATAGTAAAAATTACAATAAAGCCTGAGAAATAGTGGGCAGATTATTTGAGAGAGTAAGTGTGAGGACTCTCATTAAAAAGAAGTAGCCTTTAAATCTTAAGATGTGAAGGTTCAGCCAGCTGTGCAAAGTGTGTGGACAAAGGAAGCATTTTCAGGAGCAGGAAATTGAGTTAATACCTTAAAGTGGGAAAGAACTGGGGTTGTTTATGAATTGCAGAGCTTTTGTGGTGGAAGCCTGGAAAGTCTAGCTGAGTATCAGGAGTACTTGGTGAAGAGACTGAAGGGCAGATCTTACAGGGCCATTGGAATTTTACTATTGAAAGGCCTGTTAAAAATCTGAAGGGTTTTTTGAGGGGGAGTTGGGGATGGTAGCACTTTTGAGACTATTATAACATCAAACATGGCCTGGGACTCCCTATGTGGAATAGGCTGGATTTGAGTTTTTAGCAATCCTCCTGCCTCCTTCTCAAGTGCTGAGATTATAGACATAGCTACCATGTCCCGCTCATTTCTAGCCTTTTTACTTGGTTTGATCTTTTACGTAGGATCTTGTATTTAGGGTGGCTGTGAACTTGCTATTGTAGCTGAGTGAGGCTTTGAACTTGGGATCATCTTGCCTCTCAATCTCCCAAGGATGGGATCACAAGTGTGTGATACCACAGTTGTCTTGTCTCTCGATTTTTATCTTTCCTATTCTACTCCCCAATTTTATAAAGAAACCAGGACCCACATTTTAAAGATTTTGTTTTGTCAGATTTTTTTTGGAGGGGGGAAATGGGGTTTATTTTTAAGGGATGATTTTTCTCACTAAGGAAAAAAATCACATTGGTTCTTAAATCCTCATGTGGAAAGGTTCCTGTGAATCCTGTGGCCTAAGGCCAGTCAACAGGTGATCTTTTGAAAATGTGTTATCTAGGAGGAACCATAGTTCTTACTTTCAAATTGGCTTTCAGAGTCCCATTGATTGCACACTACTAAAGGAGACCTGCATTTTTATTAATAATAGTGGCTTGATCATTTGCATTAGGAAGATAGATAAAGGATGGGGTTTTTAAAAGAGAAAGTAGTAAGCCCGTTGTGTTTTGTTTTTATTTATTTAAGTGACTATATATTTTCTATATTTTTCATTTTTATCAAGAAAATACACATACCCACACAGATAAGCAATTAATTATTATATTAAAGATGGCTTTCTAATACTGGGTTGTGTACTAAAATGTCGTTTTGTATGATTATTTTATAATTTGTTTTTCTATTTACCCTGGGTAGACATTTGGCTTTTTTTTTTTTTTGAGTCTTGGGCTACTAGGAATAATATTGTGAATAATCTTTTTGTTTTTTGTTTTTTGTTTTGAGACAGGGTTTCTCTGAAACAGCCCTAGCTATCCTGGAACTAGCTCTGTAGACCAGGCTGGCCTCAAATTCACAGAGATCTGCCTGCCTCTGCCTCCCAAGTCCTGGGATTAAAGGTGGGCACCACCACTGCCTGGCATGAATATTCTTAGTACAAGTCTTTATGTATACTTTTGGCTGGGAGGCGGAGGTGGGGGCTGGGTAAAAACCATATTTGTTTGCTAAATCATAGATATATGTTTGACTTTATAAGAAACCATTATTTTCAAGTAAGTTGTGTTGGTTTACTCTGTCATTGGCAGTATAATATCCTAGGTGCTCAGCATCTTCGATGTTTTTGGTCATTACATTTTATTCAATTTAGTTTAAAATGTATGTATTGGGAATTTAAAGTGGTTTTATTTTGCATTGATTTTTGTGTATCTTTGATCATGTTCTTTGGCTATTTTTATGTTTTTTGGGAACAATTTTTTTTTTCCTTTTCTTGTTTTCCTATTTAAAAACAAAACTGATATACTGGGTTGTAAGGCTGTATTTTGGATATAAGCCCTTTGCTGTACCAAGTATAGTGATCTTTTATTTTTAGGCTTAGGAAAAATGTAATACTTTACAAAAACAATGTGGTTTAAAGGAGTCAGGAAACAACCCAGGAGACATAATGAAATGGATTGGATGAACACAGACAGGAGAGAGGCAGGCCTCTGCTGGCCAGAGCCTTTGGCAGGCATCAGGTCTCCGTCTTGGAGCCTTGTTGTCCTTTGTCTTCTGCCCCTTGGTTGTGTAGATTTTAATTCAGTTACACATTAGGGGTAAGATGATTATTGTTGCTGCTAAGTTTTGTTTCCTGTAGTAGGCCTGAATTTCTCCAGTTCTGCCCATCAGATTATTATTTTTGTTTTAAAATATTTTCTTATTTTTTGGAGTTAAAATTATTACATAGTTTTCCCCTTCCCTTTCCTCCCTCCAACCCTTCTGTTCTCCCCTGCTCTCTTTCAAATTCATGGCCTCTATTTCTTGTTCTTAAATTGTTACAGCACACATACATACACACTCTTTCTCTTTCTTATATACCTAAATATATAAATACAATCTGCTTAGTCTGTGTAATGCTACTTGTTTGTGTATTTTCAGGGCTGGTCATTTGGTATTGGATAACTAATTGGGGTGTTCTTTGGGGAAGACCATTTCTTCCACTCTCAGCATTCCTTGGTTGCTTCTAGTTCTTTGTCTAGGGTTGTGACCTTCTTAGCATTCATGCTTCTGCCTTAGCATGTCTGTTTGTGTCCTTGTTCAGGTCTTGTGGGGGAAGCCACATTGATGAGACTTCATGTGTATAGCATCTCTGACATTTCTAAGAGACACAATCTTACAGAAAACTTCTGTTCCTCTGGATCTTAATTTTTCTGTCTCCTCTTGCACAATGATCCCTGAGCCATAGATGCAGGAATTGTGTTGTAGAAGGATCAGTTGAACCCAAGGCCTTTTTGGGGTGAATCTGTACCCGCTACTCATGCTCATCTAGAAGACCAAATTTCCTGTGGCTGAGACTGAATTAATGCATTTTTTTTTTTTTTAGGTATATGGTTAATCTTATTTTCTTTAAGGTAACTTGAGTTCTCTTTAAGGAAAGGCTTTAATTTTTAAGTCCTTTGTATCAATATTTTCCTGTATGATTAATGCCTGTTTTCTTTTTTCGACATCTTGCTTACCTTACAGGTACAACATTTTTGCCAGTATTTTGGTGTAGTTTAAGTTTTCTTGTTGGTTCATACAGAATTCTCTATATAATGTGAGATAAGGGTCAAGATGCCCCTTGTTCAATTCTCTTTGTTAGGTAGACTTTTGTCTTAGTCAGTGTTCTATTACTGTGAAGAGACACCATGACCACAGCAACTCTTATAAAGGAAAACATTTACTTGGGCCTGGCTTACAGTTCAGAGCTTTATTTAGTTCATTATCATCATGGCAGGAAGCATGGCTGCGTGCAGGCAGACATGATACTGGAGAGTAGCTGAGTGTTCTACATCTGGATCTGCAGGCAGCAGGAAGAGACAGACACACTGGGCCTGGCTTGAGCTTCTGAAACCTTAAAGCCCACTCCCAGTGACACACTTCCTCTAACAAGGCCACATGCCCTAATCCTTTCAAATAATGCTACTCCTTCTGAGTTTATGGGGACCATTTTCATTTAAACCACAACTGATCTTCCTTTGAATACCTTGGATCTTTTCCAAATAACTTGGTGAGTTTTTAAATGTGTTTCTATTTCTGGGCTGCATTCTTACCTCTTCACCTATGTCTATCTGCTTTAGTACCACATTGTTCTTACATTTACTGAATCTGGAAAGTGAGGACACTCAAAACACATAGTTTGTGTGAAGCCAACATTCTTTTTTTTTTTTTTTTTTTTTTGGTTTTTCGAGACAGGGTTTCTCTGTGTAGCTTTGCGCCTTTCCTGGAACTCACTTGGTAGCCCAGGCTGGCCTCGAACTCACAGAGATTCGCCTGGCTCTGCCTCCCGAGTGCTGGGATTTAAAGGCGTGCGCCGCTGCCGCCGCCACCACCACCGCCCGGCTCAACATTTTTTTTTTTAAAGACAGCTTTTCACTATGTAGTGCTGGGTGGTCTGGAACTTGCTTTGTGTAAACCAAGCTAATCTTGAACATACAGAAAGCTACCTATTTCTGTCTCCTGAGCCATTTTTCTTTTTGGTTTCTATGAGATTGACTGCACTAGGCTTTAGGCATCTCATTTAAGTTGAATAAAAGAGTATCACTGTAACTCTATGACTGGTTCGTTTCACTCAGCGCAGAGCTCTAACATGTGACAGGGTTTTCTTTATAAAGGCTAAATAGTGTTCCATTACATGTGTAAATCACATTCTGTTTGTGTTTTCATCTTAGGATGAACTTTTGGGTTGCTTCTACTTAGCTGTTGTGAATAGTGCAATTAAAGACATGGATGTGCAAATATCTTTTGGGAGACCTTACTGCCAGTCTTTTGGATGTATGGTTATATACCTCTCAAGTTTCAGTCAATGATAGAACACATATACAGTGAGGGTACTACAGGATTGGTACCATAGTGTGTATGTTGTCTCACTAAGTACATATTGATGTTCACACAGGAGACTCTTCTGAGTATGCATTCCTCAGAGTATACCCAGTCTGTTAAGTTGTACATGAGAGTTATATACCCCAAAGTGGGATTATTGGAACTTGTCATGTCTCATATTTTTGTCAAAGGACATCCATTCTATTTACTTTAGCAGTTGTGTTATTTTATTAATAATATTCATAAATTTAAAAGTGAGACTGAAGGGAGATAGCCCAGTAGGTAGAAGTGCTTGTACAAACATGAGTATCTGAGTTTGAATCCTCAGCACCCACATTAGGTACTGGATTTGTTACAGATGCCATATTCCCAGTACTAGGGGGCAGCGACAGGCAGATCCTGAGTTCTCTGTGGCCAGCCAGCTTAGCCTTACCAGTAAGAGACCCTCTCAAGGCAAGGCAGAGAATGAGATACCTGAAGTCATTTTCCTGGATGTCATAGGTCATGTGCATGTTATCCCTTATGTGGAAATTGGAGATTTGCTTTGTTTTCTTATGTCTCTTTTAAGCAGCGATTTTCCCTTGGTTACAGTTGATTACTTATATTCAGGATTGTAAGTGGCATTATCCTGCAGCAAATTGTGAACAGCTCTCTTTATGAATTTTTTTCTTCCCTCCTTGGCTAGATTGGGAAGATGAGATACGTCAGTGTTCGGGACTTTAAAGGAAAAATTCTAATTGATATTAGAGAATATTGGATGGACTCAGAAGGTGAAATGAAACCAGGGAGAAAAGGTGAGGTTTTATTTCTTCAATTTGATGTTAATGGTGATTGCATACCTACCTTAAATTATTGTAGGGTGTGTATAGGTCAAGAATTGGACTTACTTAGTTAATCCTTTAATAATCAATTTGTAATGAAACCTAGGAAAACAACATCCTAATGTCATTTTAAATTGATTGCTAACTTACTTTAACTTTGTTTTTAATATTATATCAGTTCTGAGGCAGATTAGTTACTACTACTTGGGAAGTTGTAAAATGAGAAACGGAAAAATCCTGGGCTTAGTGTTTCCTTTGGATTTAGCTCCAACAGGTGTTCTTTAGGACAGACTCCTTCAGGTGGGTCCCTGTCCTCTTACCTTTGGTGCTTCCCCAGTCCCAAGCCTCTGAGCATGTAGGAACACTGTCACCAAGTAGCTAGAAAACAGCTGTTGAACAACTTGTATTGAGTTACATTTTTTTGTGACAGAATATGGGACAGAAGCAGATGAGGGGAGGGTTTATTCTGGCTCAGTTTGAAGGCACGTGGCAGCTGTCACGTGGGGCCAGTCAGGAAGTGGAGAGAAGAGGGGCCTGCTGCTTGGTCTCCCTTTTATCAAGTTTGGGGCCTTAGGTGGGTGGTGCCTTCCACGTTCAGGGTGGGTCTTCCTCCTTCAGTTGAACCTGTCTGCAGACATCCTCCTGGACATACCACATGTGATTCTAGATTGTCAGGTTGACAGTCAGGATTAACTGTTAATTTGTCAGTCCTGCTCTAGGAGCAACACTCATGAGACCCATTAGCAAAGGCATGCACACACAGGTAGAGGGAGCTAGTGGGAAGAGGAAGGTAATCAACAGGAGTAGCAAAGGGCTCTACTAAAGAGGGGAGTGGAAGGTGAACATAACCAAAACACATTATATATGTGTACGAAATGTTATGGTGAATCTGTTTTTGGGTATGGTTATGCTGATAAACTTTTTAAAAAGATTAACCACTACACCAGCTAAATTTGGGTAGTTTTGTGCTCTAGGTTGATCTTGGGCTAATAAGGTATGATGCCTCAGTGGGTAAAGAAAGGCACTGCTGCCAGGTCTGATGATCCCTAGCACCCAAGAGGTGGAAGGAGAGAAGGGATACTGCCTACACTGTTGTAAACTCTGTGGACATTAAGTAAATGACAGATTGTTAATAAAAGGAAAGAAAATGCCTCCTCCTCTAGCACTATCCTGCCTGTTGTTAAAAGTGGCACTTATTTCATGCAATTTTGGAGTTTGTTTTAAAAGCTTCCTTTTTTATGTTTGCTGTTTAATTCCTGTCTGAGTTTTCATTCAGGATTTTCCCAGGTGGCTAATGAATGCCAGATTTCATTCTTTCAAACATTTACTGAAGGAACTCAGTTAGCTCAAAGCCTTTTCTTTCTTTTTTTTTGGTTTTTTGAGACTGGGTTTCTCTGTGTAGCTTTGCACCTTTCCTGGAACTCGCTTTGGAGACCAGGCTGGCCTCAAACTCATAGAGATCCGCCTGCCTCTGCCTCCCGAGTGCTGGGATTAAAGGTGTGCGCCACCACCGCCTGGCCTGCTCAAAGCCTTTTCTACATGCTGCTCATTATTGTATTCTTTGCAATTTCATGGTCCCTCAGCAGTTTTCTAAAAATATTGTTTGCTTATTTGTTGGATATATTATATGTTAATATGCTAAGGTTTCATATTACTCAGTTTAATATCACCTTTTGATGTGTAAGTCTCAATTACTGATTAAGAAACTGAGCCTAGAAAATGCAGCTAATGAAGGTGAGCCTGGACACTTTGCTTCCTGATAACATGAATCCAGAGTGTACTCAAATCTATATCTGAACTCTGCATTCTACCATGTTTCTTATGAGTCACTCTATAGGAAGTTTCCCAAAGTGGAATGGGTGCACAGAGTCAAACACCTTGAATTTTGGTGGAAATGTGGAACAAATGTTGGAAGTGATAGGATGTAATAATGGCAGTGTCTTATGCCAAATCTGGGTCCTGCCTGACTCATAGCCTGTACATATTTGTGGAAAATCTTCAAATTATCATTAGTTCTTATTGGTCAAAATGCATTATGCAGATGCACTATTGGAAGTTAAACTGGATACAAACTTGAACCTGGGATTAACAAATGCAAGAGTTTAATATCTCAATATAAATCTCTCATAAGACCTCAATATTCTAGTATTGTGCCATTCACAGTGACAGTTTTGGGGCTGGTGAAGTAGCTTAGTAATAGAGGGTGTATGTGGCATGTTTGAAGCCTGGATTCTGTTCTCAGCACTAAAAAACCCACATAAGTAAAGTGGCACTTTTGATAAAATATTTGGGAATATCAAAATCCCCAAAGCAGCTTGATTTTTCACCTTGTATTTCTTAAACTTTGTTTAGGTATTTCTTTAAACATGGAGCAATGGAGCCAACTGAAGGAACAGATCTCGGACATAGATGATGCAGTAAGAAAGCTGTAAAATCTGAGCCATATCAAACCTGTACTGTTGTAGTTGTTTTAATCTGTCTTTTTACATTGGCTTTTGTTTTCTAAATGTTGTTTTCCAAGCTGTTGTATATTTGGATTGCAGAACAATTTGTAAGGTGAATACTTTTTTTAATGTGCATTATTAAAATGTTCTGAGTGAAGCTATAAATGTCATCTTTATTAAAGAGAATTGCATTGTGCCCTCTACCTAGTGTAAAATAAAGTCAGATCATTACAATCTTAACTGTTGTAGCCTTTTTTGATCAAAAGACTAGTTACTGTTTAAGGCCAAAAGAACAACCTTTATAGGCACATAATTGATGCGGCCTTTACATTCAGAAGGATTTGTATTGCATTGAGCTTCTTAGAGGATTGCTTTGTGAAGTGCATACTCAGTCTCTTCCTTTCTAACCAAATTTTCCTAATAACTTACTATTTCATGTTCCATTTTTTGCATCACTCTTTACTTGGATATATTACGCTGGTTTGGAAAGTCAAACTGTCATTGTTAGTCTACTGTGTTAAGTCTTAGCAGATAGTCGTGTGGTAATATGGCTTGTATGAGAACTCCAAGCAAGTGTATGTCATTACTCACAGCTCTGTGTAGGTGTTGCTTAGTCTACAGCACATAGTGACTTGATGTCTGATGAGCTCACTTAGTAAACATATTCACACTGGGATGGTGTCTGTAAAGTCAGATGTTAAACTAGGTTAGACTTTAGTAAAATTGTGAAATTTACTGGCCTACTATTCTAATGAATGTGGATTATATGTGGACATGTCACTGAGCTTTACTGTCTTGGTAGGTTATGTGGACAGTTTTAAAGACTTGGCTGTTTTAATCTGGACAAGAGACTTCTAGACTTCATGCAAAAAAGTTTTAAAAGTTCATTGGTTTTCATTTTAACCACAATGATAGACAGGCACAGATTTCAGGGCTATTGCTCTAGTGAATAGGACAGTGTTCCTTAGGGAAAGAGTGCCTACAAAGGAACTCACCACACTGAAGGGACCTGGCCTATGATGAGAAAGGGATTTTCTTGAAACTAAATGGTGCACATGACATTTGGTGACAACAGTATGGCAGTGTTGGTAGAACAGTAAGTAACGAGGATGGTTTAAAGACATGTAAATTCTAACTGCCAGTACGCGCTGCCATATCAGAATTGCAGTATGTTATTACCAGGTTTGGTTCCCATTGTCTAAACATTTTATAGAATTGTCAAGGATTTAATTTAAAAATCCATCTGCCTGGCCTCATATGATTAACCTGTCCTCCCATAGATACTCTTTAGGTAACTTTTTAGTGTTGTTAGTTATTGCAAATTGATAAATCTCACTTATTTCTCCTTGATAGGTACCAAAGTGTTAAAGAAATATTGTATATATAACTTACTCATTCTTGAGGGATACTCTTCTTATTTGGAACATAACATGTGCTACATTTAACATAATTAGTTTTGTAAAGTATTATTTTGCCATTTAGAGAAAGGGTAGTTAGAACATAAAACCTCAATTTTAGTGTAGTTTAGATAAAGAGAGAATAATAGGTAAATTTCCTAGGCCATGAATTCAGGAGTGTATTTCAGCCATCTGCTTTGTAGAGATGATGCTGTCATCTGTTTGTTACCTAGGCATTACTAGTTGCTTAGCATAATAAAATCTTCATGCAGAAAGCTTTCTCTGGCATAATTTGTTAGGTTGATAGCTAAATTCATTCACTAATGTTACAGAGTAGGTAGTGTACCAGAGTTCTTGGACTTTTTCTTTATGTGTGTAGAAAAGGAGATTTAGATTAAAAGAGTAGAGGCTAACTCAGACTGAGAGGAAAGGGCCCAGTCTATCTATTCTGTGGTCAGACTCCTATCTCCTCAGTAAGTGTCTTAGTTTCTTTTCTGTTGCTGTGACGAAGAGCCCTGTCAAAAGCAACATGAGGGACAAGGGATCACTGACTCACAGTTTCGGTTACAGACCAATTTTCAAAGAGTCACAATGGCAGGAGCTCCAGACATCTGGACACATTGCATCCACAGTCCGGAAGCTGAGAGCAGTGAATGCATGCTCAGTTCCCTTTCCTTTTCATTTAGTCTTTGGCTTAGCCCATGAACTGGTACAGTCCACAGTGGGCAGGTCTTTCCACCTCAAAGCAATCAATGTAATGCTCCAGACATACCTAGAGGCCCATCTTCTATATGATTCTAGATTCTGTTAAGTTGGCAATTAACACTATCATAGTAAGATTTCCCCCAGGAAGAAGACTTGATATTTAAAGCATCTTATTTGTTTTGTAATGCTGAAATAATTAGTATCTGCCCTCAGGTTTTGCCCTTTAATATACTCAGGAGCAAGGCTTCCAAATGGGTTTTCCTCTTTATCTTTTAGAGTAAAGCAGCCTTTGGCCAATTTCTAGTGCCCTTGGCATTTCATTTAATCAAATCACTGAAAAAGAAAAACTATATTTTGTTTTGCCTCACAAATGCTAAAATCTTGAGAAATACTACCTCATTACCTAGTCAAGATCCTGGGATAACAATCTATTCTGCATAATATCTGAGAGACAGCAACTTAGGGAACATCATGGAGGAAAATGCATCCTGGCCTGGCTACAGAGGGAAGGAGAAGGGACTGAACATTTATGTAAGTGTTCCTGACAGGAATGTTAGCACAGTGCTTGCCATAAAAGCTTGAAAATCTTAAGAACCGTTGAGTTATATTTAGGTATCTCTTCTAAATTCTTTGTGGTTCACTTTTTATGGGAACTAATGTAGTGAAACACTAATTTTTTTTTTTAAGAAAGGTGTTTTTCCAGATAAATTGTAGTGTAAAACATGCATATAGTGAGAAGTATGTAATTCTATAATTGTGGAATGCCTGTATGCTTTGTTTGGTACATCTTCCATGGAGGTGTCAATGAACCTAATACTCCACCTGTGAATATTTTAAATGTTGAAATAAAAACAAGAAATGTACCCTGTGTGTTATCCCATTTTCACACACCTGAAGATGGATGGGTAATTTTATCGGTTGAATGGGTTTCAGTAGCAAATAACCTTTCTGTGTGAATGCTTCAGAATCTGTGGTAGCTTTAGAGTATTAAATCTAAAGGCCTGTGGGTCTTGGGGTGGGCCTATTCTTTCTACCCACTTGATCTAAGTGGGAAAAATGCAAATGCCTAGGTGTACAGAGCATCAGGTTCTTTTCATCCTGCAAGTGCTTTACAGTCTGATGCCTTGTTTTATGTCTTAGTCATTGTTTTATTGCTGTGAAGAAATACCATGACCAAGGCAACTTTTATATAAGAAAGCATTTAAATGAGACTCACTTATAGTTTCAGAGGTTTAGTCCATCTACACGGCAGGGAGCATGGTGGTACACAGCAGACGTGGTGCTGGAAAAGTAGCTGAGAGTTCTACATCCAGATCTGCCAGCAGCAGGAGAAAAGACCTCAAAGCCCACCCCTAGTGACACACTTCCTCCAAGAAGGCCACACCCAATCCTTCTCAAGTAGTGCCACTGCCTGATGACTAAGTTCAAAATCTAAGCCTGTGGGAGCCATTCTCATTCAAACCACCACGGTGTGCTTACATTTTCGTTGATAAAGTCTCATCCTTATCGAGTTGTACATTCATAGTTACATAGAGAGCTCATTTGCATTTCTGCTGAAGAACTTGCATAGGGCCGGGCTGTGGAGGCGCACGCCTTTAATCCCAGCACTCAGGAGGCAGAGCCAGGCGGATCTCTGTGAGTTCAAGGCCCGCCTGGGCTACCAAGTGA